CTCTTATCTTGTTCCACGAGTCCGTGGATTTCTTCATATCTAAATTCCTCACCCTCTCTCTCATCTGCTCTGAACAACGTGTCCCTTTCATTAGTCCTCTCAAGTTTCCGTGGGTAATCGCAATCAGTGTTAGAAGTCCATCTAACAGCAGGTTCTGAATTCTTTCGGTCAGCAGTACCGCCGGTCCCTTCACGAAACTCTCAGCTCCAAACGTTACGAACAAGGCTAGTAGCTCCACAATCGATACTTCCACTGCCTCTTGGAGGAATTCCTTTATCAAATAATGAGAAACTTTCGGGTAAACTTTCGCCAAGAAGGACGCGGTCCATCCGGCTCCCAACCCTTCCAGCATGCTGTCCGTCCGTTTAAAGCCTTCCTGTCCCTTCACTTCCTGGGTCCAGAAGGTTTCCAGGGTAATCTGACACATTCTGTTCACAAATTCAGCGGTCTTTTCTTCAGCATTTTCCGCCAGGTTCACCTCCTTTAACAAGTAGGCATGGATCTTCGTAATCATCACAGGGCCTTGCTCAAAAGCATCTGCACCCAATGCCGCTACTCGAGGACTTAGGTGTAGCCACTGATTGGCTTCCGGTTTGGTTCTCAAAACCATCGCCTCCAATTGAGCTCTGGTCTCCTGTGAATTCTTCCTTCTCGCGCTTTCACCTGTTACTTCCATTGATCGGAACCATAAGTCGTTTGACATCGCTGTGACCACTCGATGGTCCTCGTCTATTCCCGTTTTCAGTTTGAGATGTCGACTCCAGCACCTCGTCCAACACTAACATGTGCAGCGCATGGTCCTTGAATCTTCTCATCGCGTTCGAGATATCTAACCACACTGCAGGTAGTTCAGCCCTGAGTGGCCTCAGGTTCTCCAGCTCTATCATGCGATTTGGGGCTGATATGATCACATCATATTTCCCTTCCGAAAGCAAGGTCACGATTGCATACACGAATTTTAGTCCATCCGGGAGATATGCATACCCCGGAGACAACGCGAATACTACTCTCGGTGTCACCTTGGTGAACGACCCCTCCTTCGTCGCATCCACCACTTCACCCATCGACTCAAGGATATCTTTTATCGCTGGCCACACAGCATTCTCTGCCGTTGTAGGATCTCTGAGTCTGCTCAGAAAACCTCTACTGTGTAGATGGTCATTGATGCCAGCAAACACGATCGTAATTGGGTTCATGTCCGTTTGTCTTTGTACCCCTATAGCCAGAGATACCGATTGCAGTAGGTCCAGATCGACCGCTGCCAGCATTATGACGTCCGGCCAAAACAGAGACTTGGAAGTATACACGAACTCTGAATTCGCTACTATCATGATCTTGGCCTTCCTTATTTCTGCTTTGTCATAGGCGGCGAAGATGGTCTCATCTTTCCTTATTGCTTTCAATCCGCTGTATCTTTGGACATCACCATCTTGACTCACTAGTTTCGGGTATATTCTTTCCTTTACATGACCTGGGGGTGAGCTCACTTGCCTGAACATCTTCACATGTTGTCCGATCGGCGCCCTTGTTACCAAAAATCTTCCAGGTCTCTCTTCTCGATTCCCTTCATCATGATTCAACCTCACGTCCTGCAATGGTCTTGCGTTCACTGGTCCCATCGTGTTATTAGAGGGCATTCCCTCTAGGTCAGCAAACCTCAAGGCCGTCGTGGAACTGAAGTTTATGCTAATGGCTATCAACCAGTCTACGCCTGTTATCGAGTACAGTCTGCTGACGGATAGCCTCGCTCCATTCAGCATCCACCTTGCATCTTCGATGAAGCTCACCCTCTGAAGATCAAGCTTCATTAGTTCATCTTTGTATACATGCCAGGGAGATGGTATGGGCCTTGACCACATCAACGAGCCTCTGCCCGGGCGTCTCTCCCCTCGACTGGTATTTATCGTCTCCGATCTCGTGTCCGATCTAGGCGTGCTGGCTGTCTCTTCGATTGGGTTAACAGTTCCTAGTCTTCTCCGAGGATTAATGGTCCTCCTTACCAGTGCTTCTCCCAATCGATCTTGAACATCCGTCCTTTGACCTGGTTCGCTGGAGCTCTGCTGTCTATAATTCTTGACGGCCGGGACCGTCCCCACGCGTGTTTCCAGGTTAGGAGGCACAAAGGTGGTAATCACCGTTTCGCTCGATGCTCCTTCTTCCCTCAGCACTCCTGTGTCAAAGAGTTCTACCTCCAACTCATCCAATCGCTCCTGGAAGACTCTGTTCAGCCAAGCCTGTCCTTCTATACTATCGAAGTGGATGCCGTCCGTGGTCAGCCTGGCCTGATCCATCGCTCTCAGCTCATGTTCGATGTCCATGAGGATCATCCTTCCGGCATTCCGACTTACGAGATTCCTCAACATATTGTTCCACCTGACCACTCCTTCGTTGTGCCTTCTCCCTGCTGCTGTCAAGCTTCTTGCATTCATAGGCACAGTGCAAACGGTCGGTACCGCGCAGTTGAACTTCTGCCAGAGAGTAGTAAACAAGCACACCATCATCGATCCCCATAGTGATTCCTCCTCATCCGAACTTCTCGAGATGTTGTTCGTTCCAACCTGGATCATCACACTGGGGATCCTCCCTGGATTCATTAGTTCCACCATCCGATATAACTAGGCTATAGTCGCTCCTCCGAAGGCCATCACCGTGGTGACCCAAGAGGTCCTCAAATTCGAGAGTACTCTGACCAAGCTGTCTCCCAGTATCAGATGTGATGTCCCCAGTGGCGGTTGTTGCAGGTTTACTGCCGGGTTCCAAGTCGCTCGATTGAAGCAAGCTCTCGGATCTGTCTCAGGAACTCCCGTGAAGTTATATCTCAATTGATTGTTCTTTTGTATGTCTATTACACGTGACACTTTCTTCGCTGGCATCTTCTGTATTCTTCTTTCTGGGGCCTTAGAGCTCCCCATTAGTGGCGTCACGTCGCTTATTCCCTGTCTGATCACGGTCTAGGAGAGTCGTACTCTGCCCGTGTCATCGATCGTTCCATAGGGTGCAGTCACCCCGGAACCTGGCGCATTCTTGTTGGCGACCAGTCGTCCAGCTGTCTCTATCAGCTTCCTCACCGTTTGTTCCACGACGGGGTCACCCAAGGTGTCACTAGGGTCCGGGATTGTCACTCGATCTGTTGCTGTCGGGAGCCGTGTCTCCGTTGTGTGACTCATTTCTCGAGGCGTCAAGAGCTCTATCGGCGACTGCCCACGAGGAATACTCCTTGCAGGTATCGCTTTTTCCACGGCTGTAGTTAACGCCATCCGTTCTGATCGCTCCTTGTAGTCCTACCTCATGCGCTCAATTTCTTGACCCTGCTTTTTGTTGCAGTCTTCGAACAATCTTTTCCACATGTCTCGGTCGTCCTCCGCAATGAGCATGGTCTTAGTCACCTCGTCCAGCTCTTTTTTCGTTCTTTCCAGCTCGTCCTTCATCCCATCAAGATCTTGCATGGTTTAGTTCATCTGAACCTTCTGTTCTGCTTTCGCCCTCTTTGTTGGCACAGCTGCTCTCAGTGGTGAACCAGAAGAGGCAGCCTCGCTGTTCATCCCCTGATGCATTCCCGTCAGCCCAGGTTTGGGCTTGGAGGGCATAGGCATTTCACCTGGTTGGTAAGTCCTAGAACTTCCCAATCCAGGCTCATTCGCCAGGTCACTCCCTGAGAGAGCCCCGTTTCTCCACCTCATCACTCTCATGTTCGGGCGGTCTAGTTATGCTGCCATCAACAGGACTTCCGTGGAGCGTTCCCCACGGTTGTCATGCCCCAAGATGTTGATCAGGGCGGTCAGCAACATGACTACCTCTGGGTCCTCCAGAGCAAAGTCTCGATCCATTAGCCGACGATAGATCGCATCTATCATCGGTCCTACATATGCCTCTGCCAGGTCCATCAATTCATCCAAGTTGAAATTATCCATTCTGTTCTTCAAGTTCGATTCGGTTTGATTCAAAGGTTTGACTCAAGTGAGTATTTAAACGATCAATCAGGATCTAGAAAAAGGTTCACGAATTACACACTTGTCAGTTTCGCCTTAACTTTTCGTTAAAATTCATTTAAAAACAGTCAGATGAAAAGATTCTGTTCCTAAAATTAATTAGTATCAATCGGTCTCTTAAATTTTGGAATTCGACCTAAGATTGGACAGTCCAAACTTCGGATCTATTCCTAAGATCGTCATTCAGTTGTTCATGGTCACTAACCCCTTCTTACCCAGGATCTTAATAACATAACACATAACATAACATAACACACATATCACACATTACATACAACTTAGTCTTTAGCCTAACACCCTCGCACGTCACTCATACTATACTTAATTAATATTTCTTATGTAAATATACTTGTATATTAGTATCAGAGAATATCACGTGTACAAGCGCGTACAATTCCCGAGGATGCAGTCGTCCTCTGTTTGGATCGTACACTGGAAGCGAGAGCTCCTTCACGTCCATTTCCACGAGGAAGTCGCTCAACCTCGTCAAGGACAAGACTGGGTTCTCTGGGTCTACGTGCTGCTTCTCCGTTGCCCTCGTCACCAAGAAGCATAGGTATTTTTGCGATATCTGTGACGCCGCCGGAGGTAAGGCCGCTACGCCCCCTACTCCTGGTCTTTGTTTCCATAGGAACTCTATGTTTTTATATTCTCTCTTAAAATCTGCCGCTAACGCTGTCCTAAAACTCATGTCTGCTGTGATTGCTATCGCACATGTTCTATTTGTGAGTATAAAATCACTATCTGTTAGTATTATGTTTTTTGAATATTCATTTGGTAAGTTAAAATATGATTCAACTACCCTCCCTATGTCAGGTTTCTTAGGTTCTTCGCCTGTTTCTGCTTCTAAGTCTCCTGTCTCTCTTGCTATTCTCAATTTTTCTATTATCAAGTTTTCAGTGTGGGTAAGTCCTACCCCCACTCCCCGGACAAAAATATCCTTCGACGCCCGGTCGATCGCATACCGGATATCAAGTCGAGGTTAGAAGCTGGAATGAGTAGTTGTCCTTCCTAGGCAGCCCAGGAAGGATCATCTCGTTCGGTCTTGATGTATTTCATGCTTTCACGATCTACGTCTTGATTCGTGACGCCGGTCTCTTTAGGGTCTGATGTCATTTCGTTCAGCCACTCCAAGACTCGCAGATTTGTGAGATCTTCTTCGTAGGACTCCAATTGCTCCTCGTCGAATTCTACGTCGGGTTTCGACCTGTCCTCGATCCTTTCCTGGTGGTGATCATCGACTATGTCGATGTCTTGTGTCACAGTTATCTCTTCTAGACCCACTACTTCTTCCACTATCTTCTTCAGATCTATCCTATCCACTACAAAGTCGTCACCGTAAGGATTATATTTCTTTCTGGGTCTTGTCCCGTCACTCTGACGAGTGTGCATCGTGAACGGAAGATCTGGTTCCAAATTCTTGGGAACCTCCATCTGTTCGGGATCCTGCCAATCTTCCTCTGCGTAGGGTAAGGTTTCATCATCTGCTCCGATCACCTCATTTGGATCCAAGTCCAGTGGTGCATTTGTTCCTTCCTCTATGACTTCGTTTCCATCGTTCTTCTCCCTGGTGCCTTTCTCGTTGACCTCACAAGCAGGATCCATCATTAGATAATCCCCTTCTGTGTTACCTATCTGCCTTCGGACTGCCCGAGCTAGACCTACTAAAATCCTCAGGGCAGTCACTTTTCACAAAAACGTATTGGGTTTCAATTTACACCAATGAATTACGCTCTTTTTAGTTTAGACTTAGTGTCGCGAATATCCGAGTTCGGACCTGTTTTGTTTTGGTCGGGTTTTTATTAAAAGGCAAGTTACCAGTGCAGTCACTGATTCCTAGCCTGTCTGCTAATAACCTAATACCTCTCACCGTAGTCTTTCTTCTGTTTACCTAAGTCCTTTAATGAAATAATACCCCTCCGGATTGGCAAAAATAGGACCCTTCCGGACTGGCGAATTTAGACCCCTCCGGATTGGAACCCCTCTGAGTTAGCAAATGTAAGACCCCTCCGGATTGGGACCCCTCTGAGTTAGCAAATAAAAGACCCCTCCGGATTCGGACCCCTCCGAAATTTGAAAAATTTTTGACCCCTCCGGATTGGGAGCCCTCTGGTTTTTCAAAAGTAGCTTTTCGGAGATTTCCTTCTTTCAACCTATACCCTTCCGGTTACGTTCTCCGATGCTATTTTGCTTTTTAGATTAACTAGGAAGATAATTTAATGCTTTCCTAGACTCTTCCGGATTGAAGTTAAGCCTCTTATTTGACAATTCACGCTAACGGTGAAGGGTCTTATCGCTAGCATAACTTCGGCTCGATTAAGGTTTTCCTGTGCCTTTAGCCTTCCCTTTTTGTCTAGAACAGCCTAAAATTACATTATTCAACCGTTATTACCTTTTGGTAGGGGTGTAAGGGCCTTCCTAAAAAAATTTATAAAACGTGAAGGGTCTACCCTCCCAAATTGGTGAATTTGCTAAAAACAATCTCAAAACTTTTCACGGTTGCTTTTTCGAAAAACTGTTGTCCCTATCAGTAAGCTTAGCTAATTTCTGATCAATTGGTACCAAGATTAACTGGATCTGTCCCGTAGTTCCAAAGTTATTAACCAAAACGTCTTTTTTCTAAAGTCAAAAAATTTCTCTCTTATAGGTTCCGCCTAACTTTTTCCGCAATTCTGTTCTTTTCGACCTAAAAATTATTGATCCGAGCTCAGAAGGCCTATACTCTTCGAGTTCAATGCAAAAGACCTGATCTAAAACGCTTTAGTTGAAAAAATTTGCGAAAAACTATGCTACCTGTACCCCTCCGGATTGATGATTCCACCAAATCAAACACGTTAAGTTCGATTTCTCTGCAACCCGGATGGCTTTCGGGAAGCGCATTTTAAAGCTTGTAGATTCACCAGTGGACGTTGTCCGAACAACTATTTTTACTGTCCTATCTCAAAAATTTCCGAATTTATAGTGTTCCGTTTTCTCAAAAATCACGAAAATTCGGTTTTTGGTTCAAAGATAGTTCCAACCACTTTCGAACTAAACTTAACCGGTTCTATCTATTATAGTAGTGCAGTTACGATGTAACACACTAATTTAGCGCTTTTTTCCGTTTCAAAAAATATCGATATCTCAAAAATCGCGACTTGTGGGGGGATCAAAATATCGCTATTTTGACCCTAAAAACCGGTCTACTTTCTGTGTTTTTCACTGAAAAACGATATAGGAATATTAATATAGGCTATTTAAGTAATAATATTAGTAATACTATACCCCTCCGGGTTTGTTTAATATCCGAATTAGGGTGCTTAACTCGGATATTCGCAGTTCGGTGAAGGGTCACTACAGTGCAGCACTGTCGAGCCCCCCACAGATTACTATCTTACTTTTTGTACCAAAAGGGATACAAAACTTGTTAACGATACCCAACAGTCGATTATTGTTGTCGTTTAGCCCCTTCTTGTTGCGCCTTGTACTGCTTGCCGGATCAGTCTTCTCCTAAGACCCTTCCGAATTGAGCGCAAATCAGCAGACTCTTCCGGATTGAGCGCAATTTATCATTAACGTTCTACAGTACCCTACAGTACAAGGCTCACAAACGGGCCACGAAATTGATCGTAACGATCCTGATTGATACAAATGCCCTTAATAACAATATATCTATCAACAGCAAACGGGAGGGTCGGATCACATCTTGTCTGGGGGGATGATTTCTACTGATTTTTTACTTTTTACTGTTTTTGGTTTTTTCAGTTATTTTTTATGTTTTTTGTTTTTCTTGGGTACTATAATACTTTTTGTTTGGTTTTATATATATCTTTAAGTGTTTTTGGTCACAAACCTCTCAGGGAACGAGGGGATGGCCGATCCCCCACCCTTCCTGATTCGTGAATTTTCGGTCTTAACTAGGTTAAAAAACTATTCACGATAATCCGGAGGCTTCCGCGTTCCGAACTACCCTTCCGCCCCAGCGGCTTAGGCCTATTAAGGGCGTTAATGTGAGCATCCGCTCGGCGCGGAGTGCTCGTTAACGGTTCTGCCGGTCATGATGTTAAAAAGAATAACACTCAGGAGCGCCATAAAAACATCTATGTAACATTCGCCCGGAAGATACATATCGACGGAAAATAAAGCTAGGTTCTAAGACGACTGGCCAACGTCTAAACAGAGCTCTACATGCTTTTCACCGTCTCTACCAAGCCAGTACTTTCGGTGGTCTTTCTAACATCGGGTCGACAAAAAACGTTACTGCTTTCGGCTTCGGTCAAAACACTCAAATTAACTAGATTACATGCAGAAGTAGTGAGCTCATGGCTGGGTCTCAGTATCCCCAGACCATGAGATCACTTCTAAAATCAGGGCTACTACTATTTATTGAGTTAGTATTGTTTTTGTTCAGTAGATAAAAATCATCATCGCCATCGAAGATGGATCAACCCTTTCCCCCAACTCCTAGCTTCTCATCCTAGCAAAATGCATTCAGATGTTAGTTAAATTCAATTCAGGACATAATACGGCAGCTAAAAGTTTATATAAGATGATAAAAGTTCCTTTCTTTCAAGTGTTTTTCGCTCTTACCAACTTCTTGTCTATTGCGGTTTATTTCTTCCCGCAGACTTTCTCTTTCAATGTGAACTGCTCTTTCTAGTTCACACATTCTTATGGACATCTGTTCATTTTGTTCTCCTATACTGCCCACTATGTTGTACAAGGCTTCTCCTAGTGATGCCCCGTTACCCACGAGTGGCGTCACTAGTGGCGGTGTAACCCTGTCGGTCCCAGGTAGCTTCGTGCTGGTCGAGATTAGGGCCTTGACTCTCTGCCTCGACGTCTTTTCATTTTCCACTTCAGGATCCGCCAATGCGTTGCCTAGCCCTTTGTTTCTACTCTCCCCAGTTTGCGGCTCTGAATTTGTCATGATCGCGAAGCCTCTCGACTGGCCCGGTGTGTTTGCCTCTTTGCTTATCGTTCTCACCACACCAAATTTGTCCATGGTTCCAGTCTCTCTTTCGACGTATGCCTCATTCTCCTGGGTCGAACTATTGAGAATTACTTGAGACCCAAAGTCCCACTTGCTCTTCCTCCTCCTCCTCCTCCTCCTCCTCCTCCTCCTCCTGGGATTCACCTTCATTTCCTGTGCCCACTCCCATGGTGAATGGAAAGATGTTTCCTAAGGTGTTCCTCATTCTTTCTGAGAACGATGAGGACGTTGTCTGTTTCTCAGTCCCGCCTGCCATCATAGTGTTGTCCGTTGGAGATCTTCTAGTTGCCACTATTTCAGTTGAAATGTCGGACAGTTCCGACATCTCCTCTCGATCCATTGTCCCGGTGGAAATGGCAAAATCATGGCCTTGTTCTACCGGAGTAGATTCAGTCGCCAGCCTTCTGCCTCTCCCTTCCAGTCCATGTACTTCCTGGTTGTCATTCATGGCCAGGTCCGTATTGACCTCCACTTCTAAAAATTTTTTTCTCTCTTCTGAGGTCTTCTGACTCCTCGTTTCAACCATTCTGCCTGAAACCGTCTCCCCTTTGTCGGTCCGGGCTCGTTTGATCCGATCCACAAAAGGGTCGGTCATTGTTTTTCTTTGCTTTTTAGGTATGAATTCCCTAGAGCTATTACCTCGTTTGGGTATCCTTGACTTGTCTAGACTCATTCTCAATTTGTCACTTCTTAATGCCTATACACTCAATTCGATTGCTAGTGACTTTATAGTTTGACTATCAATAATAATGACACAACACAATAAATTTCACAAGATTCTATTAAATAGTGACCACGAATCCCTGTATGTTATCAAAGTACAGTTTGTATATAATTTATTCACACTAACCGATTATCGGTCGTAAGATTTGAGAACTAGCACAAAATGATGTTATCAGTCAATCTAAAAGATAGTGTACTCACTACCTAATCAAGCACAAATTATGTTGATTTAAAATCAAAAACAAAAAAAATATATAATGACAGAATATGAATACCTCAATAAAAAAAACGTATGTGTATTGTACTTTTAGTCGGTCGCAGTACAATAGTCGAACTTATATTAAAAAAAAAAAACTTTCCCTGCTTGGTGCTGCACCAAACAGACAAAACTTTGAAGGCAGTAATTTTCTCAAGTGGGCGTCTATTGCACCCACCGAGTACTGTGTTACCTATCTGCCTTCGGACTGCCCGAGCTAGACCTACTAAAATCCTCAGGGCAGTCACTTTTCACAAAAACGTATTGGGTTTCAATTTACACCAATGAATTACGCTCTTTTTAGTTTAGACTTAGTGTCGCGAATATCCGAGTTCGGACCTGTTTTGTTTTGGTCGGGTTTTTATTAAAAGGCAAGTTACCAGTGCAGTCACTGATTCCTAGCCTGTCTGCTAATAACCTAATACCTCTCACCGTAGTCTTTCTTCTGTTTACCTAAGTCCTTTAATGAAATAATACCCCTCCGGATTGGCAAAAATAGGACCCTTCCGGACTGGCGAATTTAGACCCCTCCGGATTGGAACCCCTCTGAGTTAGCAAATGTAAGACCCCTCCGGATTGGGACCCCTCTGAGTTAGCAAATAAAAGACCCCTCCGGATTCGGACCCCTCCGAAATTTGAAAAATTTTTGACCCCTCCGGATTGGGAGCCCTCTGGTTTTTCAAAAGTAGCTTTTCGGAGATTTCCTTCTTTCAACCTATACCCTTCCGGTTACGTTCTCCGATGCTATTTTGCTTTTTAGATTAACTAGGAAGATAATTTAATGCTTTCCTAGACTCTTCCGGATTGAAGTTAAGCCTCTTATTTGACAATTCACGCTAACGGTGAAGGGTCTTATCGCTAGCATAACTTCGGCTCGATTAAGGTTTTCCTGTGCCTTTAGCCTTCCCTTTTTGTCTAGAACAGCCTAAAGTTACATTATTCAACCGTTATTACCTTTTGGTAGGGGTGTAAGGGCCTTCCTAAAAAAATTTATAAAACGTGAAGGGTCTACCCTCCCAAATTGGTGAGTTTGCTAAAAACAATCTCAAAACTTTTCACGGTTGCTTTTTCGAAAAACTGTTGTCCCTATCAGTAAGCTTAGCTAATTTCTGATCAATTGGTACCAAGATTAACTGGATCTGTCCCGTAGTTCCAAAGTTATTAACCAAAACGTCTTTTTTCTAAAGTCAAAAAATTTCTCTCTTATAGGTTCCGCCTAACTTTTTCCGCAATTCTGTTCTTTTCGACCTAAAAATTATTGATCCGAGCTCAGAAGGCCTATACTCTTCGAGTTCAATGCAAAAGACCTGATCTAGAACGCTTTAGTTGAAAAAATTTGCGAAAAACTATGCTACCTGTACCCCTCCGGATTGATGATTCCACCAAATCAAACACGTTAAGTTCGATTTCTCTGCAACCCGGATGGCTTTCGGGAAGCGCGTTTTAAAGCTTGTAGATTCACTAGTGGACGTTGTCCGAACAACTATTTTTACTGTCCTAACTCAAAAATTTCCGAATTTATAGTGTTCCGTTTTCTCAAAAATCACGAAAATTCGGTTTTTGGTTCAAAGATAGTTCCAACCACTTCCGAACTAAACTTAACCGGTTCTATCTATTATAGTAGTGCAGTTACGATGTAACACACTAATTTAGCGCTTTTTTCCGTTTCAAAAAATATCGATATCTCAAAAATCGCGACTTGTGGGGGGATCAAAATATCGCTATTTTGACCCTAAAAACCGGTCTACTTTCTGTGTTTTTCACTGAAAAACGATATAGGAATATTAATATAGGCTATTTAAGTAATAATATTAGTAATACTATACCCCTCCGGGTTTGTTTAATATCCGAATTAGGGTGCTTAACTCGGATATTCGCAGTTCGGTGAAGGGTCACTACAGTGCAGCACTGTCGAGCCCCCCACAGATTACTATCTTACTTTTTGTACCAAAAGGGATACAAAACTTGTTAACGATACCCAACAGTCGATTATTGTTGTCGTTTAGCCCCTTCTTGTTGCGCCTTGTACTGCTTGCCGGATCAGTCTTCTCCTAAGACCCTTCCGAATTGAGCGCAAATCAGCAGACTCTTCCGGATTGAGCGCAATTTATCATTAACGTTCTACAGTACCCTACAGTACAAGGCTCACAAACGGGCCACGAAATTGATCGTAACGATCCTGATTGATATAAATGCCGTTAATAACAATATATCTATCAACAGCAAACGGGAGGGTCGGATCACATCTTGTCTGGGGGGATGATTTCTACTGATTTTTTACTTTTTACTGTTTTTGGTTTTTTCAGTTATTTTTTATGTTTTTTGTTTTTCTTGGGTACTATACTACTTTTTGTTTGGTTTTATATATATCTTTAAGTGTTTTTGGTCACAAACCTCTCAGGGAACGAGGGGATGGCCGATCCCCCACCCTTCCTGATTCGTGAATTTTCGGTCTTAACTAGGTTAAAAAGCTATTCACGATAATCCGGAGGCTTCCGCGTTCCGAACTACCCTTCCGCCCCAGCGGCTTAGGCCTATTAAGGGCGTTAAAGTGAGCATCCGCTCGGCGCGGAGTGCTCGTTAACGGTTCTGCCGGTCATGATGTTAAAAAGAATAACATTCAGGAGCGCCATAAAAACATCTATGTAACATTCGCCCGGAAGATACATATCGACGGAAAATAAAGCTAGGTTCTAAGACGACTGGCCAACGTCTAAACAGAGCTCTACATGCTTTTCACCGTCTCTACCAAGCCAGTACTTTCGGTGGTCTTTCTAACATCGGGTCGACAAAAAACGTTACTGCTTTCGGCTTCGGTCAAAACACTCAAATTAACTAGATTACATGCAGAAGTAGTGAGCTCATGGCTGGGTCTCAGTATCCCCAGACCATGAGATCACTTCTAAAATCAGGGCTACTACTATTTATTGAGTTAGTATTGTATTTGTTCAGTAGATAAAAATCATCATCGCCATCGAAGATGGATCAACCCTTTCCCCCAACTCCTAGCTTCTCATCCTAGCAAAATGCATTCAGATGTTAGTTAAATTCAATTCAGGACATAATACGGCAGCTAAAAGTTTATATAAGATGATAAAAGTTCCTGTCCCGAGACCCCTCCGGATTCTCGAATCCGGGGAAATAAGACTCTTATTCTCCTTCCGGAAGGCTGTCTTCCGCCCTTCACCGTTGTTCGCAACGGCCTTGCAACTATTGTAGCGACACAATAGTTGCAACTCGGAACGGTCGCTGCTACTTCTGCAATTTGTTGTTGTTTCTCAATCACAATTTTTGTTGTTATCGCTATCGCAACTAATGTTGTTGTGTTTATTTCAGTTTCTTCTCTAAAATGGCCGTTTTTGACGTTTCTCAGAACTATTACGTCATCAATTCGAATTTTTAAAATTTAGGAATTTCCGAATCCTTCAGCCTTCACGAGTTGTCCAATCGTTCGAATAACGCTCTTATTCCTTCTAAATCGCCAATTCGGAAGGTTCGCTGCTAAAAACTCGAAATTGCTGCTTCTGCATTTTTTCCATTCTGGTCGAATGTCACACACTCACCGGACAGTCCGGTCAATGTCCTCATTGAATCTCGCAATGTTCGTAAATTTTTTTTCCAAGCGGAGCTTCGCAACTTTTGCGAAGCAAAAACGTAAATTATAAAAGGGGCCCTTCCGTTTAGGTACGGTCGTGCACAAGCTGGATAGGGCCCATACCAGCATTATATAAAGGGAAGTACTAACTTCTTTATTAAAGAATAAAACGTATTTACAGATATACAATGAAACAAACGGGTATATAAAACTAATAAAAATTATGAGGCGATATCGGCAGCTGCTGAGTTCAACAGAAAATTCTCCGCTAATGATGATTCCGGGCATACTGAACTACTGTTGAATGGATTATGGGTACCTCGAATACACATTATAACAGATTTTAATATACAGAATGATAATCGAGTTCTCAGATAGTTGATACAGGTTGAATAAGAGTTGCCATCTTCGTTCCGGGAAAGTTTAACAGCTAATTGTTTGAGAAAAATGCTGCATTGTTTTCCCATTCCCCGTTAGTGCCGAAGACCAGCGGCGTGAAGGAACTGTTCTCCACCTTGACAATTCTTTCCAGATACTTTATTTTTTTCTCGTTTTCTTGTGATTCGAAGATTTCAGTTGTAGCCTTGGTGCCATGTGAGGGAGCGTTAACATGTGTGACCCGAACGTCAAAAAACGTAGTCTGTCTAGTCTCCCAAAAGTTGCTAGCTTTGATGTCGAGTCTCGCGTCATCTTCAGTTGATGTGGTTTGTAATCTGAATATTTCGTTATCAATTTTTGTCAGTTGTGGTTCGACTTCCACATTGTTGCATACCTTTGTTAGCGAGCCTGCAAGAAGGTTTCTAAGTTTGTCATGCCTCGCGGATATGAAACCACCTTTTTTTACAGCACAGGGCATGGTCAACGGAAAAAGCTTTTCCGCATGGGCAATTGCGGGGGATATTTTGTAGGGGAATATTGTATCGTAATCTCAGCGAGTCCCGAAATTCGGTTTTTGAGAGGTTCATTCCTTGGCTTTTTAGAGGTAGGGCGGTTAGCCAGGTACTAGCTCCCTTGTCTGTGTTTTGTTTCCACTTCCTTTTTTCTTCGGTGGTAAATGATTGTGAAACTGCTTCTTCTGATTCTTTCTCTCTTTCGCGTTTCCGAGTTGCTATTTGTTTTCTTCCGCCGCTATACTCGAGAGTGGTATCCGAAAGCTGGTCAATGATGGCTTGCTTATAGGGCTTTGAGAAGATTTTTGAGTTTTCATTTTGAAATCTTGCTTCTTCTCTTAGCGCTCCGAAGTCAAGACCGCCTTTGCTTACTGGTAACCCAATAATTTGTCTTTTCTTGTTCTTCAGTGGGGACTCAGACCCGAAGAGCGCTGGAATAAGTTTGTTCTCCAGAACACATTCTATTGGTTCGAGCATATCAGCTATTTCAGGTATAGTCCGAAAGAAGTATGTAAACTTTGATTTAAATCCTTTGCTAAACGCAGAGAATGCTGCATGTGGTTGTGAAACGGCGAACCCACTCAACACGTTCAATTCCTTAGTCCATATTTCAATTTTATCTTTGCAGTAAGCAGTCTTGAAATCTTGAGTCCCAAGTGCTGCACCCAAGTGCTTTTTGCCGGCCGTAGTGACATTTATTGTTCCATTAAACATCACTTTTGCCTTTTCACTCATACTCTCCAATTTCACTACCAGCCAGCATTTCAGTTTGTTAACAAAATAACCGTCTTTCTTTCCTTCTTCAATTAGTTTCCCGTACCACTTCCATAAGTTCGCAGTGCTTCCGCATCCGGTGGCGTCATCTGCCAGCCATGCTTGAATCACCTCAGTTTGTTCGGCAAGTACATTGATTAGTCTTCTGGTGTTGATAGAGAACCAGGGCATCGCGAGTGGATCTCCTTGCGTGGTTCCTTCACTTGATTTTAATTCCCCACCTCCAACACAAATAAGCGCGATGGCTGCCTGTATGTGTTTATTAAATACGTGGCAATCGTTGGGCACAGTACTTGTATGTTGTTTAGAGCCACTGCTCTGTTCATGGAGTTGAAGGCATTTGAGGCGTCGATCATCACAGCTTCCGAGTTCTCTTCCTCGTAGAGTTCTTTCATAGCATGAATAGCAGCTTCTGCACCAGCTTCGAATCCGGCACATGTTTGCAGGTTTCCTGCGGTTTCCTTGATCGGGTCTTTGAATGCGTGGACAATACATTTCCCTAGAAGTCTACGAAGAACTTCCCCAACCCCGATTGGTCGCACTCCAGGGTTCTTATCAAGGGCTAAAAAACGACAAGACGTCAAAGGCGCAAGTAATCCGGGGCAGTGGTGCATGGTGCACAATCTGAAGCACATCAAAGAGATTTCTTCTCTCAGCATTTTTCCATCTTGGGCATAATGTTGTAAACAAAGCATTCTCTTGAATACTTCAGCATCTAATCCCGATAGACCAGCGGATCCATTCAGTCTTCCTGCAGTTTTTGTTACCACATCTTCTGTGATGGACTTATATGCTACTTCGGGAATGGTTTCCTTTGGCCCAAAAAGAAGTGCTGTTCTGTCGGGAGCTGCCATGGTTGGGTGCAACTGCTTCAGTTCCTTCTCAATCGTTTCTGTGAAGGGAAGGCAACCATAGCTCGGATCTTCTTCTAATAGCTTCAATGCGTTTTTGACTTTCCCCTGAAGAAGTAGTTTGGCAAAGACACGAGCTTGGTCTTCAGATGAGTTGTTGCGTTGCGTGGTCTTTAGTCGTTTTTGAATATAGTAAACTTCATCCGCTATACCCTTTATATCTCCGCGTTTCCATATTTCTAAGCGCCGAGAAAGTGTTTCAGTGTGATCTTTGCATTTGGAGGCCTGGAAGGGTTTCTTTAGCAGTAATCCGGGTAGCACCATGAAAACTTTCATGGCCATGGAATTGTATTTTGAGTTTGAAGAATTAAACTGTTTCAGCCAGAACGTGACCTCCCTGATAAACAGCTTTCCAGCATTTCCTGAAGGGAGGTTAAACAGATTTCTTTTCATGAAAACAACTTTTTCATAAAAACTTTCAACTCCGGCGGCAAACTGGTTTAAATTTGTTTCGCCAAACTTATCGGCAGGAGGGAAACAGTTTGCTGAGACATCAATCTTAGGCAGGTCCACTAGTTCCTTCAGCTCGGTAGCCTTTTTCTGGTCTTCAATGCCTTTATCTTTAACTGTCATGTTTGTCATCATCTTTGATAAACCTGAAAATCCGTTAGAAGGCTGTTGATGACAACTAGTACAGAAAAATTGAGGGATGTTTGCGAGTTTTTTTTTTCGCTGTTCTAGCACAGCTGATGTGAAACCAGTTATTGCACCCATCACACTGCACTCCACTGGAAGCTACGATTCCGCTGTGGGGACATTTGGCGTTGCCGCAAAGTGCTGTGTCTGGCATTTTCCCCCCCAGACGCAAAAGGGCGTGTCCGTACAGGAACAACGCCCTCCGCAAGTTGTAGAGCCGAGGTCTGTACGCCAAACTGAGATCACTCGTCGCCGGATCACACCAGTTTTGTCCAGGGTTTGTCAAGTGGGGACAAACTTCTCTGCTTTTTCTCTGCTTTTACATCATGGGGTAAGCATCTGTCCGCATTTTAATAGCTGCTTATTATGTATGGGGGCAATTGGTAAATTTCAACAGCAAGCAGATAGACGGCTGCTAGGACTATTGCGTTAAACACAGATTGGGCGATTTCGGGCACCAGTTTAGCGTTTTTAGCCTTTTCAACTTCAAGTGCTCTGCTTCTACGGATTTCTTTTTCTCTGCTTTTAACTCCAAGTGCTCCGCTTCTAAGGAATTCTTCTTGGATAGCGGGATAATAGGGTTTCGAGGCAAGGTTCAAATCCACATCACTAGATTAGGAGTCCAACTGTTGTTGCACTGAGCCATCATCATCTTGGGAACTCATTTTCATTCACATATGAAACTATTTAATAAGTTTATCACAACAATTAGTGCACGAAATGCACGAAATGCACGAACAATTAATGCACGAAATCACTTTTATCCGCGTCATATCGACTCACTGCAGAACATAAATGGCATCATACTACATCACTATAGCCTTCAAATTTCTCACTAATCTGCACATTGAGGATCTGACCTAAGATAAAAACATCTTTTCTGACTTCCAATGTCAATCTCCTGATTTTAAAACTTCTCCTAGATTTTAAAAGATGTTGATTTGCAGGACAGTCCTGCCAACCAACAAGCTAAAATTATCCTACTATGCTTCTTCCCTTCGGAAATCTTGCTTGTCATTGTCCTGAATATTAAAACTAAGTAACTCTGTGGTTAGAAAGCACAATGAAACAATCTCCCTTTTCAAGAGATTATCCAAGTCTTTCATGTCACCACAAAGTGATCAGTCGTCCTAATTGATTCAAAACAATCATGCAGGCTGGAATATTTTATTATACTCTTTACTCAAATCTTTACTAAGATCGGTTTGTTAAGCTTATTACAACAATGATGTTTCATTAGTTGTTTTTCATGGCAAGTTTATTTAAGATCAATTCTTTTGTGAGAAATATATGATCAGAAAATTGTTGTTCTTGATTGTCCACTACTTCAAGGCTTCCTGGTGTTTCTATGGTAAATACTGAATTTGTAAAATTTGAGACTGTCTTTGCTTTGTCGTTGTCGGTAGTTGCCCACTGGTTATGACCAAGGTTGATGGCAGGTATTGCCTGTGATGATTTAAGCTTCTTATTGACGTGGTTCCAGAATTACTTGTGTTGGGATTTGGTACATTTCGATATAATTTAACCTTGACAACTATACAACGAATTTCTACCGCTTGACAAGTCGTTTGTCTTAGCGTCATTATCTTTATTTATTGATGTCAGTTCTCAAACATAATAAAATCTCAAAAAAGTTCAATTTATTATCTTAACTTTTCCCTAAAATAGTTCGGATTCCTTACAAATTGATGAAGGACTATTGTAGTAACTTCGGTTACCATGGTAATTTCTGACCTCATTTAATTTAAAATAGAAGGTTTTTCAGAAAGTTTGAAGGAAACATTCTGTTTTGAGGAATGGATGAAATTGAAAAATTGGAGTATTATTCCCTTGTTTCAAAAGTTATCACTGAGCTGACCAATCATCTTAGCTTGTCTGATAAAGAGGTTGCTGAATTTGTTATTCACCTTGGTTCAAGAGCCAAAAGCGTTGAATCGTTTAGTAAAAAGTTAGAAGAAAATGGCGCACCAATAACGAATTCTTTGGCCGTTCATTTGTTTGAGTTGATAAAAAAACTACTTCCAAAGGGTTATTTCAACCAAAATGGAAAGGCCTCTAAAAAGAAAAAGAAGAAATTAACAGTAGAAGAAAATGATATCAGTAGTCTATCAGAAACGAAACTTGAAGCGAAAACAGCCATTCCAGCTCTGTCAATGCCCGATGACTTTCCATCCGCCCAGTCTTTATTGAAGACTAATGAGACTAAGTCTGAGCAAATCCAGGAGACTGTCGACGATGCTATGAGCCAACTTGAGGCTCTTGAAGGTCTCGCGAGTGTACCAGAAAACGAAATGAAAATACGCGATAACGACCAGCGTCTCTCTGGTCCGGTTAATAGAAACAGGTCGCGATCTCGAAGCAAAGGAACGTCAGAATCAAAAAGACACAGAGATAAAGAACATAGGAGATCCCGTAGTCGAGAAAGACAACACAACCGGAATCGTGACGATGAGCATAGGCGATCACGTAAAAGATCACGAAGTAAAAGTTACGATCGTAAAAGATCGAGAAGTCGCAGTTATGACCGAAAAAAACCAAGAAGTAGGAGTAATGAAAGGAGGCGCAATTATCAGGACAGAAATCCACGTGATCAAAATGATGATAGGAATCATGTTAGGAGCGTTCGTCCCAAGGAGGTTTTACTAGCTACTCCTGAGTTAGGACAGATATACAAAGGAAGAGTGATGAATCTTGTACAATTTGGCTGCTTCGTAGCCTTATCGGGCTTCAAAACAAAGCTTGAAGGCCTTGTTCATGTATCGGAGTTGCGACCAGAACGTGTAAACAACGTTTCAGATATAGTATCTCGCAACCAAGAGGTTTTCGTTAAGGTTATTTCTTTTTCTGGAACAAGATGTAGTTTATCCATGAAAGATGTGGACCAAGAAACTGGAGCTGACAAAAATCCAAATCGTACTATCAAATCAAACGTTGAAGTTCAGGAAGAGCTGCGCAACCCGGATCGTCCAGACGACGGGCTGAATGTTCCAATGAGCGTAGACGCACATGATGCTCCAAGGTCTAAAAAGTTTGCAAGATTATCTTCTCCAGAACGCTTTGAAATAACACAAATGATTGCAGCTGGAGTTTTGGACAAATCGGAGTACCCAGATTTTGATGAAGAGTGTGGGTTGATGCCACGAATTGACGAGTTGGCTGAAGATGCAGATGAAGATATCGAAATTGAAATGGTAGAAGAAGAACCGGCATTTTTGAAAGGATACGGTCGACATTTCGCTGATTTAAGTCCCGTGAAAATAGTCAAGAATCCCGATGGCTCATTGTCGAAGGCTGCTATGATGCAATCGGCACTATCAAAAGAAAGACGAGAAGTCAAGACAGCGAAACGAAATGAAGAGTCAGAATCTAGAACAATCGACACAAAAATGTGGAATGATCCTGTTCCTGACCCAGAAGCGAAAGCAGCTGCAGATTCTTCAGACATGATAAAAAATGCATCGATTACAATTCAAGATATACCGGAATGGAAAAAAGTTTCCTTTGGAGGCAAAAATGTATCTTATGGGCGCCGAGTAACTACGACCATTATTGAACAGCGACAGAGTTTACCGATTTATAAATTGAGGATGGAGCTAGTAAAAGCCATTCATGACAATCAGGTTCTAATTGTTGTTGGTGAAACAGGATCGGGCAAAACTACCCAGATTACTCAGTATTTGGCGGAGGAAGGTTTCACTGCCCGCGGAAAAATCGGTTGCACCCAGCCTCGGCGAGTTGCTGCTATGTCGGTTGCCAAACGAGTAGCTGAGGAATATGGGTGTAGATTGGGTGCCGAAGTGGGATATACGATCCGGTTCGAAGACTGCACGTCTTCAGAAACCGTTTTGAAGTACATGACAGACGGTATGCTGTTGAGAGAGTGTCTCGTAGATCCTGAGATGTCTCAGTACTCAGTGATCATGTTAGACGAAGCGCATGAACGTACAGTTCCAACTGATGTAGTGTTCGGCCTTGTTAAAAAAGCGGTTTCGAAAAGACCCGATCTGAAACTGATTGTAACATCTGCTACTCTAGATTCGATCAAGTTTTCGACTTATTTCAACGAGGCACCAATTTTCACAATTCCAGGACGGACTTTCCCGGTTGAAATTCTCTATACAAAGGAACCGGAAACTGATTATGTCGATGCATCCTTAATCACTGTGATGCAGATTCACTTGACGGAACCTCCTGGAGATATCCTCGTGTTTCTGACAGGTCAAGAAGAAATCGATACTGCTTGTGAAGTTCTGTTCGAGAGATGCAAATCTTTGGGAAACGACGTACCTGAACTGATTATTCTCCCTGTTTATTCAGCTCTGCCCAGTGAAATGCAGACAAGGATTTTTGACCCGGCTCCCCCAGGAAGCAGGAAAGTTATCATTGCAACCAATATTGCGGAGACTTCACTTACAATTGATGGAATTTACTATGTGGTCGATCCAGGATTCGTCAAACAGAATGTCTACAATTCCAAAAGTCACATGGACGCCCTTGTGGTCACTCCCATCTCCCAGGCGCAAGCAAAACAAAGGGCCGGCAGAGCAGGAAGAACTGGCCCTGGAAAGTGCTATCGTTTGTACACTGAAAGAGCATACAGGGATGAGATGTTATCAACTGCCGTGCCAGAGATTCAACGAACAAATTTGGCATCCACTGTCCTTTCGTTGAAGGCGATGGGAATCAATGATTTGCTCGCATTCGACTTCATGGATGCTCCTCCAATGGAGACTCTTGTGATGGCTATGGAAAACTTGCATGCATTGGGAGCTTTAGACGATGAAGGTCTTCTGACAAGAATCGGAAGACGCATGGCCGAGTTTCCTATTGAGCCTAATTTATCCAAAATGCTCATGATGAGTGTACATTTGGGTTGCAGCGATGAAATTTTGACCGTTGTCTCAATGTTGTCAGTTCAGAACGTTTTCTACAGGCCTAAAGAAAAACAACAAGTTGCTGATCAGAAAAAGGCGAAATTTAATCAAGCTGAAGGAGATCATTTGACGTTGCTTGCAGTTTTCAATTCGTGGAAACATAACAAATTTTCGAACCCATGGTGCTTTGAAAATTTTATCCAGGGACGATCTCTGAGAAGAGCTCAGGATATCAGACAACAAATGATGGGAATTATGGATAGACATAAACTGGATGTTGTCACATGTGGAAAAAACACCACGAAGGTCCAGAAGGCAATCCTCAGTGGGTTCTTCATGCACGCTGCAAAGAAAGATCCCCAAGACGGTTACAGGACGCTTGTGGATCAACAAGTCGTATACATGCACCCTTCGAGTTCGCTGTTTAACAGACAACCTGATTGGGTCATATACCACGAACTGGTGTTGACAACCAAAGAATACATGCGCGAGGTGACCCATATTGACCCTAAATGGCTGGTGGAATTTGCGGGATCCTTCTACAGATTCAGCGACCCGACCAAACTCAGCAAGACGAAGAGGAATCTCAAGTTGGAAGCACTAAACAAACCTCACGAGGATCCGAATGCCTGGAGATTGTCGCGTGTCAAGAGGAAAACAGGAGTCAAACAAACCTTTGGTTGAGACTGACGACGTACTTTACATTAAGACCAATAATAACTGTGAAATTATTTCTCCCTGTTTTATTGGGATGTCACAAGCGATTATAACTTGATTTGTTATAAGTAGTTTAACTTCAATCTGAGTTTTTTCATTATCTGATTTTGATTTCAAAGTCTGTTTATTTAAGTTGTTTGTACTTGTAGACTTTTCTTTACGGCTATCTTAATTTTTCAGATTGAGTGTTTAAAATGAGACCTAACTACTCAAAGGTAGCCTCTGCTCCTCGAAGGCCCTTCGAGAAGGAGCGATTGGACCAGGAATTGAAACTTGTGGGCGAATTCGGACTCCGAAACAAGCGAGAGGTCAGTATGCTCAATGTTTTTGACCGATTACTGAAATACTAAATGGATTCGAAATAGCTTTTGTTTAATCAGAACAAGCACGTAACATGTTCTGTTTCAGGTATGGAGAGTAAAGTTCACCCTGGCAAAAGTGAGAAACTTGGCTCGAATGTTGCTGACCCTGCCCCAGAAAGACCCAAAAAGGATATTCCAGGGAAATGCCCTCCTCAGAAGACTGGTCAGAACCGGAGTGCTCAGCGAAGACAAAATGAAGCTTGATTACGTCCTGTCATTAAAAGTATGTTTTACACGGGATATAGTCATATGGCGTATATTCGTTGCCAGATGAATATGTTATAGTCGGAATTTTTTTCCAGGTCGATGACTTTCTGGAACGCAGACTGCAGACGCAAGTGATGAAATTAGGCTTAGCCAGGTCAATCCACCACGCACGAGTCCTTATCAGACAGAGACACATCAGAGTGAAAAAACAGATCGTGAATGTGCCCAGCTACATGGTCCGAGTAGAGAGTCAGAAACACATTGACTTCGCAATCAACTCGTCCCTCGGAGGCGGCAAACCTGGCCGAGTGAAGAGAATGAATGCTAAGAAGGCGGCGGGAGGCGGAGCGGAAGAGGAGGATGAGGATTAAATAAATAGTTCCTCGGATGTGATCATGCCCCCAATTTGTATGACCTCATCTTGGTGTTATTTTAGACTTCGTTCATGTAGATTGGATTCTTTCTGATGCTTTCAAATTGACGATGTCTTAACCTCAATGTTTTTGAAGGTGTTTCTCAACATGTAGTTTTGAGTGCTAGTATAGACAACATAACCATGTCATCATTCCATAAGCTATTTAGTGTAAGACGGAGTTATTGTTGTTTTTCTGAAGTATTTTAATTGAAAATTTTTCAGAGATGCAATGATTGCTAATTCACCAAATAATCTACCTCTTGTCCTTCTAGCGTTTTCCATATTTATCGTCTGCTGCAATGCTAAGTTTTCGGATCACAGATGTAAGTGCGAGTGCCAGGCATCACCGGAAGACGGATATGATCGTCCTTTCAATCTCATCCGAGTGATCAGCTCGGACAAATGCAAATGCCAGGAGATGTTTGGAGAGAACTGGCTGAGCAAACGGGAAGCCAATGACTCATACTTACAGAAACAGTTCGACTACTGCAACAATAAGTGTCAATGTGTGTTTGAGACCAGGAATACATTTACAATTAAGTTTATAGTTACTTTAATCATAGTGGTGTTGACACTTCTGGGGCTGTATATGGCGTATCTTTTATTTTTGGATCCGTATGTGACAAAGAAGTTGTACTCCATGCGTTCTGGAATAGTGATGGAAAACAGACAGGGACCAGGAGGAAGTGTTATAACAGAGGAGGATTCGAGGAGACCTTCGTCTTCATCAGGAGGTCCAATCCGGCAGAGACCTCTTTTGGCACATGTGTCAGACGTGCATTCAGAGTGGAAGGAAAAGGTGGAGGAACAGAGAGATACTGTGTACAACAGACAAGCTGTCCTGTCATAATGCACGCAAAGTGTCATGTAAAATCCAAAAAGGCTGATATCTCAAAAGTACAACATCATCTAGTTAATGAGTGTTTATATTGTTGTATGGCGTCAATTTTAGATATTTGGCATATAATTATAGATGTTTTCTTGCGAAATTTATATTGAAAATTCGCAATTTGCAGGAAACCTTGGAAATTCAATCTTGTTTTTTTTTTCAAAATTATTATTGTTCTAAGTGGTAAAGGAATCTTCAATTAATTACAAAAAAATGAAAAGTAAAGGAAGTGTTAAGAATTTTACAATTTTCAGATAATTTTCTATGTCAGCGGGGGGTCTCTCATCTACTTCAGCACCTGATGCTAGTGGCGACACAGCTGCTCCAGTAAAAGAACATTTGGGCATCCCTAAAGCAGAGTTCATAGAGGATGTAGCAGGCTACATGGAGAAGCATGGGGGCGATGCGGAGGCGGTGCTGAAGAAACTAGACACGCAATTGGCCAGATACAATGCAATGAACAGCAGTCTCCAGGCAAGAAGATCCTAGTGAGTAATTTATGTCTTGAGATCACGAGAACGACGTGACTGATTATAATTTGATTTTGTAGATATAAGAAGTAGCAGATATTATACGTAGCAATTGTAGTCCCATTTATTTCTTCACGAGTAGTCAGCGTTTCGAGATTTTTTCTCTGTACATTGAACATGAGTATGTTGCATATTTTGTTTTCTATCTCCGTACCTATTTTTTTCTGATGATACCAGAAGAACGTACTTGTTTTTTAGTCTCCGGAACCAGACCCCTGAGCTGAACAAGACCAAAGAAATGATCAAACTGCTGAAGGAAAAGAAAGACTCTCAAGTATGTATGTTAGCACAGACAAACCTTCCGTAGTTCATCTTTCTTTTTGGTCGTTGTTTGTTCAGTGATTGGTTGTTTAGGAGGAAAAAGAGCTGCATACGAAGTTTCTCCTAACCGACCACGTCTATGCTGATGCAACTTTGGATGCCTTTGACACAGTCGGACTATGGCTAGGGGTCAGTCAGTACTCAAAGTTCTGCGAAATATTTTGATAGTTTTTTCATGAGTAAAGAGATGTATACAATTTTGCTCCGATTTACATGATGTCTTATCATACCCCTGAATTTTTCTTTCGAAAATTATAAGCTCATTTGAATTCAATTATATGTGCGAAATCGATTAAAGAGTTTTTCTTCTTCTTTCTAGGCGAATGTGATGCTGGAGTATCCACTAGACGAAGCCACTGACATAGTGAACGAGAACTTGAGCCACGTGGTTGACCAGGAGAAGACCCTGAGTGATGACTTGTTGTTCTTGAGAGACCAGATCACCACCACAGAAGTGAGCATGGCCAGAGTGTACAACTACAATGTGGAGAAGAAGCAGAAGGCCAATGCATTATCTGCCGCCGCCGCTGCAAGTTCAAACGCTGCTCTCACCCCAGCTGCTTAAGAGAAATGAAGATGTTGATTATCATGTTGGCCTGTTTTCCCAGCCTCTCCGCCTTTTCTTAATTTTAACCACATTTTTAGATTTTTTCGATAAAAATCCAAATGGAAATTGTAATTTACAAGTTTTCTTGTTTGAGTAACAAGATTTTTCTCACCCAGTGTCAAATTTTAAAAGGGACGGAAATTGGAAAACAGCCTAATCTTGTACAATACATTGATATTTGCTAAAGTTACAATGACACTATGCCTCCAAGTTGTTTTGTAAAGTTTTAATTTTGTCTATTTTGAAATATATATTGATTGATTAAATTTTCTTTCACGAGAAAAAATTACTGGCATGTACTTAGAGATGAATAAGGAGACTATCGTCCCTTAATTACCACTTTTTCACAGCTTCACGATTAGTTACATAAATTGAACAAGTCAGTATTTTTTCTGTTCACCTGCATTCGTCGACTCGTTTCTAACTGTCTGTTAGCCATGTTACTTTAACTGGTGCCTCTTCCACGAATGGTTATTTGTTCTCTTTCAGATCACTGAAATATATCTGAAATGCCGCTCGCTTATGACATTCTAGACAAGGGACTGGAGAAGAAGCGCCACAAGAGGAAGCGCATCGTGCCCAAGCCCAACTCGTTCTTCATGGACGTCAAGTGTCCCGGCTGCTTCAACATCAGCACCATCTTCAGCCACGCCCAGACTGTGGTGCTGTGTGCCGGATGTCAGACTGTGCTATGCTTTCCTACAGGTGGGAAGGCCAAACTGGTGGAGGGCTCCAGCTTCAGGAAGAAGCCAGAGTACTAGATTCTCTGGCAACAAATCCAACAGAGCATCATCCATTCCTCGTGAACTTAGATGAATTTGGAATTTATTTAGACGTGGATTTGGTTTGTCTCGTCAATTGATGCTATAACATGTTGCTCTGGTCGTGATAAATTGAGTTTGTTGGATGTTCGACTTGAATTGATTTAGGCCAATTTGAGGTCATGTCTAATAAACATTATCCTGTCTAAACTCTTTTTGCCTATAGACTGATTGGCTCTATGAGACTACAACGAGTTTCCATGTACTCATTAACTTGCGATGAACCTAGTTCAGACTCTTATATAGGTCGTGATGAATTTTTTTCGTTTTTCACGAAAAAAGGAAGGCAAACTTCACTATCGAAGTGCAAGAGTGTAAAGGTCACGGCTTTAGTTTTCAGATTTCCCAGCAAAAAAAAATATATTTTCCCTATAGATCCGGTTTTCTCAAGCTGGGTTAATTTTCTCAAAAAACTGCCAATCATAAATTGTCCCAGAAAGTCAAAATATGTTTGATTTTTACAGACATGGAAAGGTTTTAGAAGACCCAAGAGAAAGTTTTGAAAAATTATTTTAAGCCGTGAAGATTAATTTTTCAAGCTGCTTCGCGCTTTAAAATAGATGATCCAATGTGAACAAGCATAGAATTGGTATTATTTAGTAAATTAAATATAAATAGGAATAGATAAACGAACTTTTGAATGTTTTGTGGAGCCAACTTAACGTCAATAAAATGAAATTGAAGCAATTTATAATTTTCAGTTGAAAATGGGTCGTGTCATTCGTGCTCAGAGAAAGGGTGCCGGGTCCATCTTCAAGGCCCACAACCACCACAGAAAGGGAGTACCCAAGCTGAGGAATCTGGACTACAGCGAGCGAAAGGGATACATGCGTGGACTGGTCAAGGACATCATCCATGACCCAGGACGTGGAGCACCTCTGGCTGTCGTCGAGTTCCGAGACCCCTACCAGTACAGAAAGAGGAAGGAGCTCTTCATTGCCTCTGAAGGCCTCTTCACTGGCCAGTATATCTACGCTGGAAAGAAAGCGGCGTTGACCACTGGAAATATCCTGCCCATCGGAAACATCCCAGAGGGTACCTTGGTATGTTCAGTAGAAGAAAAAACCGGAGATCGAGGAAAACTGGCGAAAGCTTCCGGTGACTTCTGTGCGGTCATCTCGCATAACAGCGACACTGGTAAGACCAGAATTCGAATGCCGTCTGGCCTGAAAAAAGTGATCTCTTCTAAGAATCGAGCTATGATTGGAATTGTTGCCGGAGGAGGTCGAACAGAGAAGCCTCTGCTGAAGGCTGGTCGTGCTTACCATAAGTTCAAGGTGAAGAGGAAGTGCTGGCCTGTAGTGAGAGGTGTGGCCATGAACCCCGTGGAGCATCCGCACGGAGGTGGTAACCACCAGCATATTGGATCTCCCAGTACTGTCAAGAGGTGTGTAGAGTTTGCTATTATTGATTTTCAACCAGGAGCTTTGGAAATGCAAGTGTGTGCAAGATATTTTCATCTGAACGCGATCTATCAGCAATTGATTACGAAAGACATCGTGGCTGCGATGTGGAATGTTTTGAGATTTGAGAGTTGATTGATAAGTTTCTGCAATGCGCGGTACAAAACAAACTATTTCGACGAATCATCATTGCTTTCTGTTTAGGTCTACTCCTCCTGGACGAAAGGTGGGTCTGATTGCTGCCAGAAGGACTGGTCTGATCAGAGGAGGCAGAAAGGAGAAGCTGGCCGAGAAAGAGTAACTGAATAGCAACTCGCTCTCCCAGTGTAGAAGTTGAACCATCGATATAGATTCTGATTATCTTTTGTTATAAGAATACTGTCTGAATTCAACTTCGAAGCAACCTTTTCGTTCTAGCTGAAGTTTTACTACAGAAAGTCAACCAAAAATCAAATAAAATCTTAAAAAGTTTGATTCCACGCCTTTAAGGGCTAAGGAAAGTAGTAGCCTAAGGCTTTCATTAGTTTATTTGAGTTTACACTAGCGAATTTTGATTCCCCGCCTTTAAGGGCCAAAGAAAGTAGTAGCCTAAGGCTTTCATTAGTTAATTTGAGTTTACACTTGTGTAATCGGGAACTAGAGTTTTTCCCCGTAAACAGCTTTTGTTTACAAATTTACATTCGGAATAGACTTTTTTGCTAACTATTCTGCACAATCTGATATCATAGGTTTAATCGAAAGAACAGGTAGTTGAAAGCTTACCTTTATCATTGGCTACGCACAACTTTGTTATAAAATTATGGCCTCCCAAGTTTTGAAACTCTGACCGTTTTTCGGAAACTATTTGAATTTACTCGAATACTACCGTGCCAATTCTCAGGTTAAGTGTTGAATCGAGAAACTCGGTTTTGGAAATCTTCTTTAATTAAGCGGCCACGACCTGTTTTTTTGAAAAATTAGAAACAGTTTTGGATTTCGCAGTGTCAACATTTTGAAATTTTGATTGTTTGATTTTTCTTCAAAACTACCCTATCTATCTGAGTTAAAAAATTCAATTGAATGAACCTGTTGCGAGAATTTTTCTTGCAACTCCTTAATTACTTTGTATGGAAATCTTATGTCCTTGGGAAAATTCCAATATCTCAAAAAAATTCAATGTGGCTTAAAAAGACTTGAGGTTTTGGGCAAAGTCAAGTTTTTGAAATTACCCATTTCGACCCGCATCAGTATAACACATTGAAAAATTTCAAACGGGTAGTTCGAGTTTTAGCTGGACCCCTGGTTATCTTTTATCGAGACATAAAACTTTTTTCCTGATTTCTTATGTTTTTTTTAAGTTTGTGTTGTACTCCGCTTTGCTTGTGTTTTAATTGCAACCGGGTACTAGGTTTGTTCCTTTAAAAAGTTTTTCTACAGATATGAGCCTGTGAATTGTTAGGAATGTGCTGTCATGCTCAATTTCATGAAAACTCACATTTTATTACCAGTTGTTAATACTATTGTAGTGCTATTTACGAATCCTTATTTTCTTAGCCCTACTCGCAAATTTAAGTTCGATTTTGGTGCACTTCCTACATAAAAAAAAGAGGTTGTGGCAATTTAATAGCTTGTTTTATCGGCTTTGCGCAGATGCGAGGTTTGAGCAGATAGACTATTGCCAGGATGTGAGAAATTTAACCTCCAGGTGGGAGTTTTGATTCCTGTACATGGCAATATTTTAAAGGCTTATTTTGCCGTTTCCCGTTTCTTCCTTATTTCACTTAAGTGCCTATTTAGAACTACATATTCCGTTTTCTCGATTGTTAGCGAAATGAAGCCTCGCCTCAGATGAAACCTACAGGTTTAATCGGGTTCTTTTTTGGCTCATGCTTATTGAATATTCATTACTTTTTCGAGAGCTAGCGTCTTGTAATCGGGAAATAGGCTTTTTCCCGTAAACAACTTTTCTTGCACATCAGTACGAAATGAAGTTGCTTTGTTAGTGAGCCTAGCAACTTCGAGATCTTTTTCCACTTGGCGTAGAGGTAACGCGGATGCCTTTATACTCTTAGCCCTGGTGTTCGAGTTCCGGACGGAGCTTGTTTTTTCAGTATGTATGAAATTGGAAAAAAAATACCTGAAAAATTGAAGAGTCGTACTAGTTGTCTGCTAATGTTTTGTCGGCTTAGGTGCCACATCGGGTTATTTTCATCCATTTTCATCGTAGCTTTATTCAGTCTAGATGGTTCCGGCTTATTTTTCATCAGGTAAATTGCTTTATTTTGTGTTGCTTCAAAGGCGAATTCAAAATTTCAGGTAGTTTGTTGCAAGATATCCAAATTTTTTTGACACCATTTCTGATCGCATTATTTGCATTCGGCTCAATGGGCGTATATTTTGTCGGCTTAGCTGTCTTTCGGTAAATTATAAAAGCGTCTTCAAAATAGGCGATGGTTGTGTTTTTCGACTGTTTCTCAATTTTTTTAGTTTTTGATATTTCCGTCTCACTGTCTATTCACTATCTTGCAAAGCTTCTTTGTTTATTAAAATTTTTGAGACCGCGTCACCGAAAGTGGCTAGAACAACTGGGGTGTCAGATTTCATTTCTTTCAGCCATGATTCGGCATCCAAAAAAAATTCTCGGCAGTTTTTAACCTATTTTAATCAACCCTTCAAAAAATCAACGGAAGTTATGAAAAGATTTTTTTTACGTAAGCGATTATCAAATCGGAATAGATTTTTTCCGGTTAACAACTTGATTATACTCGCGAGAGCAAGCTTTTTGTAATCTTTTTTTTTACCGTAAACAACTTTTTTATACTAATCTTTCTTGCTTTTCTTACTTGGTTTATTATTGAACTTTAACATATCCAGGTCCGTTTTTACTTGGCCTTGATATAACTTTGTCGCCTTTCCACCTTAATAACTGGGGCTTGAGTCAAGGCCAATTCTTGTGTTTTCCAGCATGTTTGAAATTGAAGTTGTTTTCCTTTCAATGATTCATTTCATTTTTAAAATCCTTAAATTTTAATTTTTACTTAAGTATTAATTTGATCTCGTTATGTAATTGCTCTGTAATTCTTTTACTCGGAAATCAAGATCTTTTACTACTACTACTACTACTACTACTACTACTACTGTAAAATTGAATTTTTTGACTTAGTTTGTCTGCTCAATTTTTGTCGGCTTAGTTGCCAAATCGTGGTTTTTTCCTGTAAGCAATTTTCATTATAGTTGCAAGTATTCTTCATTGAAGTTTCAGGCTCACCTGGTGTGCTCAAAAATTGCCGGCTGTGTTATGTTTCATAAATTTTGTTCCGTTGCCGACTTACTATTCAATTGTTTTTCGTGGCAAGTTTGCCTAGATTGACTTTTTCGTTAGTCTGTTATCGAGCCATACGAAAATTTGAGCAGACCTAGTTTTTTCCAAAAAATTTTTTCCTCTTGTTGTTTGTTATGTACCGCAAGTGATGCGTAGCTCCGAGTCGTCTTTTGGTGAACAAGATCACTTGAATCATTGATAACAGCTTGTGACTTAATTAACGCTTGAACATAATTTTTTTAGTTAAAAATTCAGTTGCCGTTTTATTCTGTTTGCTTAAGTTTTGTCGGTTCAATTTCCAGTGCAGGAATTTATGCAGAGTCAAGTTTTTCTTGCAAAAATTGATGGTAATTATGATATTATTCTGCAATTTGTAAATCATAGGCTCCAATTTTTTATGGATCCCGAGTTCATTTTTGGTTTCCCTTAAAAAGTTAAAGTGGATTCCATTGTTTCTGGCGATCCAATATTGGTATAGACGCTACGTGTTTTGTCGTTTTTAGTCATCTGTTTGCTTCAGGGGTGAGGCGGGTGTTTGGGCGTTGTAAAAAGCTGAAATTTTTCGATGACATCAATTTAGTGTTCGGCTTAAAGCGTGTCCACCCAAGGTTTTCGGCCTAATTACCGCTAGATACTTTTTGCTTGAATGCTACTTAACGCCAGCAGTTGTTTTTTGTTTATTTTGAAAATTGAAATCCATTCGCTGAGACCCATATAAAATGTTTTGCATAGAGGCAGTTTTTTTTAAATTTTTTGTTCAAATAATTTTTCGACTTAGTGGTATTCTTATTTTCTATCTGCTAACTTGACATGCTTTTGTTTGTGATGCATGCAAGTTGTGCGAAGCTGCATTCTGGTGCTTGGTAAGTTCTACGCTTTTGAGTTTTAACTTTAAGGTCTGCATTATTTGAATAGCAACAGGCTATCTTTGTTTGTTTTAGCCTTGTTTGTTTTTGGCCTTGTTTGTCTCGATAAATCTGATCGACCACTAGGATTTAATTTTTTTTTGTTGAAAATTTGCGACTTTAAACTGTCCGACTAATGATTTCTTTTTACCCTTGAGATAAGCAAGGGTAGTGCAACCCGGTATTGGACTTTTTCCCCCTTAAATAACTTCACAGAATGGTCAATTTAGTAATTTACCATTTCTAAGTTTTCTTTCAAAGTACCTACATCTTACATGAAATACTTATTCAGGGATCATGCTTGATTTTTTAGTGGCCCATGCAAGTCTTTTGAGTGTTTTTTTCTCGAAAAAGTTTTAGTTTATTGAGTGTCGGATTTAATTCTGTCACTTTTTTTACCTATTTTTTTTCTATTAGTTTTAGTTTATAAGTTTTTAAAATCGAAATAGACTCAAATTTGACAATTAATATTCTTAAATTTAAAATCATTTTTGGCGCTTTTAAGAAATCAAAAAATTAAAATTTTGTTTTTGTCATAAAAAATCTTTGTTTTATTAAAATGTTGTTTTTATTAAAATAAATGTTTGTTTTATTAAAAAATTTACCCAGATGCTCATTCTCAAATCTTTTTCGGTGAGATAGTTACGCTTGCGATTAGCAAGCGTTATTTAGCCGGAATAGACTTTTTTCGGGTTAACACCTAGTAAACTGAATCTTTTGAATAATTTTACCTGTGGTTCATATGAAATCAAAAGTCAGACGTCATTTTGCGGATGTGGCCAAGAGTTAACGCACCAGCCTATAAAGATCAAAGATCGTTCGTAAACGGAAAATTGTCCTCATTTCAAACAAATCTTTGTCGGAATTCTGTTTGTCTGCCTCTTTTTTGTCTGCTTAGTTGCCGCAGCACAGAATTTTTCTAAAATTTAGGAATGTTTTACTTAAATTAGAAATAATTTCAGTGTATTTCGATTTTTGACATGTTATTGAGTTCCAACAACTTACGCCATTTTTTTTTGCTATTTTCATTTTTTTCATGTTTATTAAAAACTTTTGGAACTTGTTTTCTTTATGAATTCAAGGAGTGTTCTGTACAATTGGTGCAATTGTAACACGCATGCTTCAGAAAACAAATCACGGAAGTTCGTTCTTGTTTTTTTTTTGTGGAAACTGAAAATTTTACTATTTTAGACGTGT